CCCTATGAGTAGAGTTAACACAAGGAGGATGGGCAGAGTGAAGCTGACTGATGAGTTCCCAAACAGAATTTTGTCCTGTCTACCCCAAATTTGAGCTTTGTTCATTAATAGGACAGTGATTACAGGAAAAACATCATTTTATCCTTAAAGAGATTAAGATGTCAGAAGTTTGTGCCTATGAGAATCAATGGATTTTTTTAAAGCTTCATTTATTTATGCATACAAGAGCTGGGGTACAGGCCAGAGATGCGGGAGGGTGAGAGGATTCACCAGAGACAGAGTAGGGAACACAGCAGGCAGACTGACTGAAATACACTGGAACAGCGGGCAAGTCAGGAGAGGTCTGCTGCGCCATGTGGGTCACCTCCCTGGCCAGGATCAAACTCATGCTGCAGTGGCTGCGGACAGCTCCATAGGTTGTATCTTAACCCCCTATTAAAATCAATGGATTTTAATAGCACATTTAATAGCCAAACATCTTTTCCCTTCACCCAAACTCCCTCCATCAACAATGTTCATATAGATTTACCTTAAGTTTCCAATAACCAGATATTTTCTGCTCATGTGAGCCTCATCCATTCTCAGCTTTTGTGAAAAATTATATGACAGGACCCTGTGCAGGCTTCTCTTGGCAGATTCCTTAGTTAAAAATTCATGTAAGTTTGAACATATTCCTACAACTATTTATAAATTTTATTGTTCTATTATTTCATATTCCTGGTTTTGGAGTGATGACTTTATAATAATGCCATTTATATTATTATTATTATACATGCTATATCACATATAATGCATTAGAACAAATGCTTTATGATGTAACAATAATTGCTGTCAGTCATTAGTCAACATGTATATAGCAAGTCTGCACTTAACATTGTCAATTAAGCATTTATTAGAAATTGCTACTTTAAGTGAAACATGTAAAGAAAATTCTCAAAAAACATCATTTTGTTCCACGTCAGCTGGGATTTTTTTTTTTTCTTATCAATGTTGCGTTAAAATGACACTTGAAGAATATAACATTATCCAACAACCTGCTGTATGTGAGTACAGGCAGGTACTTATTAGTGTATGTCATGTACCTTTAGAGAAACAGTAGGTGTGCTTTCATTAATGCTCAGAGATGGTCTTCCTGGTGGTGCAGGAGTTAAGTCTCATCACTATGAAGCTATTGGCAGACACTGCAGCACGAGTTCGATCCCCGGCCAGGGAGCTACCCTCATGGCACAGCAGACCTCTCCTGTCTCCCCACTACTCTCCTCGGCAGTGTATTTCAGTAGATCTTCCTGTTTTGCTCCTCTGTCTCTGGTGAGTCCTCTCATCCCCTGCACCTCTGGCCTGCACCCCAGCTCTTGCATAAATAAATAAATCTTAAAAAATTCCTCAGAAAAACTTTATGAAGAAACTGTTGTCTAGAGACAAGACTTCCTACGGAAGCACACACTTGTGGTGGATGCCGTGATATATGGGCCAATCCTTCTTCTATAGGACTTATTCCCCCAAGTATGGAGAACCTGGCCACAGAAAAGCCCTCAGCTGTCCACACACTCAAGAAATTGTCCTCAAATGAGAAGCACTGTTTTCTCCAACATAATTCTCATTCTTGGGCCCAGACCCCTTGCAGTGCATGGGATAATTCTCACAGCCCCTTGCTCCAAAAGGAATAGCTGTGAAGGGCCACTCCAGCTTCAGAGTTCCCTGTGGGCAGATTCTTGCTTCTTTTCCCTTCCCCTCTGGTAGATCCAGAGAATATTCCCAGTAAATTCTTTGCAGACTAGTCTCTACCTTCAGAGTCCACATCTTGGGGAGCCCAAACTGTTAACATTGACCATATTGTCCAAATTGAGGCTTGTTTTGTAAGTGAAAAAGTGGCCTAATTAGACAGAATGCAGGTTTCAACTGACATAAACTAGAATTTTCCCAAGTGAACTGAAAATTATGGTCCCTTAGGTTTTTGATAGAATCATGGGTTTAATACCACCTTACTGCTTGTGGAATGTTATGCTGATTATTAACCTTGCTATTATTTTTTTAAGATTTATTTATTTATTTATATAAGAACTGGGATACAGTCCAGATTCGTGGAAGGGTGAGAGGATTCACCAGAGGCAGAGAGGGGAACAGAATGGGTAGACTGATGAAAAACACTGCTGAGGGGAGCAGCGGGCACGGCAGGAGAGGTATGCTGTACCATGTGGGATTCTCGCCAGCCGGCCAGGATGGAACCAGCGCTGCAGAGACTGCAGACAGCTTCACAGCACTCAACTGCCTGTGCCACCAGGGGAGGCCCAAACCCTGCTATTATTAACCTCACTCTCTATCATGAAAAAAAAAAATGATACTTCACTGGGTAAATGTGAGATTTGATTAAGATAATGTGTATACACTACTGGTATAGGACTTAATGCATGTAGCTCTTTTCATGAGGTTCTGAGAGGTTAAGTAAACCCACGTGTTGCACATCTCACCAAGTGGAGTAGCCAAGAGTCAGACTCACTCGTCTGACACCAAAACCCATCCTGATAAACAAATTGCTAGATTGTTCATTTCATACAGCGTTTCTGGTCATTTTAAGAATTCCTACTTTAAAATCCAACACTTGGGGCCTCCCTGGTGGTGCAAGTGGTTAAGCACCACACTATGAAGCTGTCCACAGCTTCTGCAGCATGAGTTCAATCCCCGGCCAGCCAGGGAGCTACCCACATGGCTCAGCAGACCTCTCCTTTCTTGCCCTCTGCTCCCCTCCGCAGTGTATTTCAGTCAGTCTGCCTGTTGTGTTCCCCACTCTGTCTCTGGTGAATCCTCTCACCCCCCACGTCTCTGCCTGTACCCCAGCTCTTGTATGCATAAATAAATCTTTAAAAAAAAATCAACACGTGACTTCTCAAGTATCTGATTATTAACTACTATTTTTGACTGTAAATGGCAAAAAAAAAAAAAAAAGAAAAAGAAAATCAAACAAACAAACATGAATCAGCAGAGGAACTTGTTCTCTTGGGTAATAGGAAAGCTTGGGGGGTGGGGCGGGACTCTGCATTCAAGCCTGGCCAAAGATAATGTGATTTCATTTAGTTTTTTTCAGTTCCTTTGCTTTGCTTCTTTATATTCCACATCTGAGTGAAATCATCAACAATTTGTGTTTCCCCTTCTGACTTATTTCACTTAACATCACCTGCTAAGTTCCCTAGAAACCTAACTACAGAGCAGAGGCAAGGCTGGAAGTGTGTGTCGAGGTTGGGGGGCAAAAGGGAGGGAGTTCAGTGGACTATGGGGGAGCTTTGCTGGTGGATGTGGTAACCTATGTTTAAAGAGATGTGAGCCTGTGCTCCGACATCATATACGGTGCTGTAAACAAATGTTACCTCAATAAAAAAAGTTACAAAAAAAGGTAATGTGAGAATTTTACATCTCTCATTCCATATTTGGGCTGGTTTTTTCTGTGTTGGTTTTATTTTCACACTTTTCTGCATGTTTGGAAAGGTTGGTATTAGCAGCTCCACGGCTATGTACCATATGATTCCAGGGTGGACCAAAGCAAAACTCTTTCTTTTATTTTTTTCTTTTTTTAAATATTTTATTTTATATAATTCTCACATCATTTTTCATTTTTGCACATTGTATGCATTTTCATTTTGGTTATATTCCCCATACAACTGCACCCCCCCCTTATTTTGACCCTAATCCTTCCTCTCCCTACCACCCCCCCACTGTAGTGTGTCTCTGGTTTAGTTGTTTGTTGATTTTGATTTTTACTTTGTATTAATTTAGTCTTTTTCCTGGTCCCTTATTTAGGTTTTCTAGATTCCTGCTATGAGTGAGACCATCCGGTATTTTTCTTTTTCTTTCTGGCTTATTTCACTGAGCATGATCCCTTCCAGCGCCATCCATGTTGCTGCAAATGGCATGAGTTTATCTTTTTTGATGGCTGAGTAATATTCCATGGTGTATATGTACCACATCTTCTTGATCCAGTCATCTATTTTTGGGCATTTGGGTTGTTTCCATAGCTTAGCTATTGTATAGTAAGCCCTCAATAGGTATTTTTGCTTATATTCCCCTAAGAGTTTTATACTTTCCTCAAACATTTTCTCCTCCCTTTCTCAGCTGATGAGCTTTTCATTTTTTTCTTTGTAAATTCTTTTATTAGAGTAATATTGGTTTACAACAGTGATTCAGAACTCTAGTATCCCACCTCTTTAGATGGATGTTACCCTATCACACCTGATCTAATTGTGATTATCAATAAAATGGTGACAATAAAGGCTAGTTCCATTCAGAGTCTCAGATGAGAAAATTTGGTAATTAAATATCTTTATAAATTGTTAAACACTGTATATATATGTATAATAAAAATATACATATATAAATGAGTGTGTGTATATATATATAAAATGAGTAAAAATACAGAGGCAGAAGAATGTGATCTGTGCATGAGAGGCAGATTATATTTAAACTAATAGCATAGATTTTGAGGATGGGAGTCATTCGTCATATGTTATTTAGCAACCAGTACACATGAGGAATTGTATCCTGAGCTGGGGATTTGATGTTGACTAAAACAGATAAAATCATTGCTATCTGAGGTTTACAGTCTAAATACAGGTTGTCAAATGAATTAAGTCCAAATAGGGAGTTATTATTAACATTAAATGGATTATTCTTTTTTTCTGATTATTAGTCATCCTTTTGCTGATGCTGAGATGGCAGAGGTTTTATATATATATATATATGTATATATGTGTATACATATATACATATATATACATATATATATACACATATATACATATATATGCATATGTATAGTCATGGGTATAGTGACAGAGTATCTATTTGGTCATAGTAAAAAGACTTCCTTATTAGAAAGTTTGAAAATTCTATCATATACTCAATTAAAAGGAAAGTCCACTACCATATGCTTCTTGGAAGATAATAATTCCTTAGTTTGGCCTTAGTTAAAAAGTTATGAAATATGAAATTTGAAGGTTTTTATGGGAACATGAAAGAGACATTCATATACAGAAATGACTTCCCTCTTGTCAGATGCATACCAGAAATTAAACATGGGCTTGTCTTCCATGAAAATCATTGGCTTTAAATTCTTGACAAAGCCTGAAAGGAAAAAAAAAAAAATATATATATATATATATATATATTATTAAATTGAAATTATCAGATTAAAAAATATACTGAATCCACTTTGAAAGGAAACTAAGTACTAAGCAAAGTGGGAGGACTGGCGTGACACAACATGTTTCAGATAGGGTTAGTAAGGAAATTTCTTCCATTTTTGCAATCAACTGGAATGGTTAGGCTGGAAGCGAGGAGATTGAGTTGGGTGGCTAAGTTAAGACTAAAAGCATTCCTGGGCATCCCTGGTGATGCAGAGTTAAAGACAGAGCTATCAAGCTATTACCAACGAATGTGGCAGGAGTTGATCCCCCATGTGGGCCAGGAGCAGCCTACAAGGCGTAGCAAACCTCTCCTGCCTTGGAGGAGCAGACCGCTTGCTCCCCTCAGCAGTATATTTCAGTAGATCTGCCAGTTCTATTCCCCACTCTTGTCTCTGGTGAATGCTCTCACCCCCTGCACCTCTGGTCTACACGCCAGTTCTTGTATGCATAAATAAATAAATCTTTAAAATAATAAAAAACCCCAAAGAAATAAAGACTGAAGACATTCCTTTAAAATCAAGAGCCACACTTATCTTGCTGATGATATTTTGGGACATTGTTTCTACATCTCAAGATCAGAAAACTCATTTGGAATTCTCACCAGTAAGATAATTTCATGAACTTGGTGAAAGGGATGCTTCCCAGTATTCTTTTGCAGCAAAGTTTTTGCTAAAGAATGCATAAATAAATGAATCTTGTTAAAAAATGACTTCTAAAGTTTAGTATTGGATCTTGATTCAAGTCATAGAGTCTGTAATTTCTTGGCATCCAAACAAACCCAGTGGGTAGACATGAGCAGAATTTGGCCACAAACACTAGTAATCACCATTTTCTCTCGAGTTTTAATAAGAGGCCTGTGGTTGTGATGCTATTTGCCAATGGACAGCAGCCCTCCTATCAACCTCAGTCATGAATTTGATTTATTTTTAAAAGGAAGAAACTAGGAGCCATCCAGGCAATGCCCACAACTTGTGGTGTGAACTTGAGCAGTACATCAGAGCCACCGTCCAGGACCAAAACCTCTGAGTAAAGGGAAAATGTAAACTAAACAATAAGGAAAACATGGGCAAAGAGAGAGATAAAGTAAAACCTTCCAAATACTAAGGATCAGCATTAATGTTTTGTCCTGAGAAGTGGAATATTAATCTTCTCAAAAATTGTTGTCCAAAAACCATGTTAGAGTAATCGATGATAATAAGATGATTAAAATAATGGCAATCATTAATAATTATTCAGCCTAGAAACTGCAATGGACACTTTTTGTGTTAACCCTCCTGGTTCTCTCAAGTGAAAGCTAGAAAGGTAAATAACTGGCCCAACCTCTGAATGCTCCCTCTGCCACATTGCACACAAATGGTGGGATCCACATGCAAACATGAATTAACTATATATAAACCTTGCGTCGTGGGTACAAATAAAGCGATCGCATCGGGGGTTCTCTGCTTTCTAGTACAGCAGCATGTACCTTGGGTGCCCAAGGGTACTACTCTTCATCTACCTATAGTGCCCTTTGTTGTCTTGAAAGGCTGAATAATCAAAGAAAATTTCCCTTCTATCTCAGTATGCTGTATTTAACATTTGGAAACAATATCTTAAAAGCATCTTCTAAAATGATATCCAGTTACTCATTCAGGGCCTCCTTGGTGACCCAAATGTTCAAGTCTCAGCACTATGAAGCTATCGCCAGCCACTGCAGCACAAATTCGATCCCCGGCCAGGGAACTGACCCACATGGCGCAGCAGACCTCTCCTGTCTCGCCCGCTGCTCCCCTCAGCAGTGTATTTCAGTCAATTCGCCTGTTCTGTTCCCCACTCTGTCTCTGGTGAATCTTCTGACCACCTTCCCTCCTCCCCCGCACCTCTTGCCTACACCCCAGCTCTTGTATGCGTAAATAAATAAATCTTTAAAAAAAATAAATAAAATGTTACTCATTCATTTATTTCCCTACCTAGAATTTCCCCAACATGTATCTTAGGCAAGCATTTTGGGAACAGATATTCAGAATTGTCACATAATTGGCAGCAACCTAGAGACTGGTAAGATCTGTCCAGCTGATGAGAGGCTGGGTGCCCAAATCAACACTCTCTCTCACCTCAGAAGCTCTGCTGTTGCTGATGATACTTCACTGCAGCCAAACTGCATCCTGTAAATGCCTGGGGAGAGTGAGTGGTCATAGGATTAACTCTCAAAATCACATTCTTTCAAACTGAACTAAAAACCTAGAAATATTCTCAAATTCATTGTTTTTTTTAAAAAATAAGGAATCTAAGAAAATCCAAATTGAAGATATCTTCACATTTTCTCATAATGACAGTAAAACTTATTTTTTGAAGAAAGATCAAATTTTAAAAATAAATGGAAACAGGACCAAACATCTTCTAGAAGGCTGTTTCTTGTTTATTTAACACTGTGGGCAACTTTTATAAGAATGAGAAAATTGGATTTACTGAAAATGAAATTTTGATGAAGTGCTATTGAATTTTAATATTCTATGAAATCCCATGTTACTTTAGAAGGATCTAAATGACAACTGCTAGTTTATTATGAGACAAATATAATTTAACAGTTAATGCTCCCCCTAAATTGTGGGATGGTGGCTATTTTGGTGTTTTTTGTAACATGTAAATCATATTACTCAACATTTAAGTCCACATCATAGCCCAGTTACTTCATGAAATTTGGCTTTACTGCAAAAACCCGCCTGTTTTCCTTAGCTTCTGAAGAACTGCAACATTTAAAATTAATAACATGCAAGTATTTTCTACTCAGTGATAATCTCACATTTTTTCTTGTTTCTGAAGAACTGCAACATTTAAAATTAATAACATGCAAGTATTTTCTACTCAGTGATAATCTCACATTTTTTCTTGTTATATTCAGTTGTTTGTAAATATCTGGATCATGCCTTATACCATGACAACTTATCAATTATAAAACAAGAGGTTAGCTAAAAAGTCATATTGGAGACAAAATGTAACCTAAAAACAAACATGTTGAATTAATTGAAAACAAAAGAGGAAAAAAATGGAAAAAATGATTGGACAAGTAGTAAGCATGTCAACGTCAACATGGTAGTTTTACATGTAACTGTGTTGTTGATTACATTAAATACATATTTAAAATATTCTTAAATGTTAGATATTGTAAAATTGGATAAAAATGTAAGATGCTGCTACACCACACTGTTTTGAAGAAATTTACCTTAAGCATGGAGCAGCAGACCTCTCCTGACTCACCCGCTGCTCCCCTCAGCAGTGTACTTTAGTCACTCTGCCTGTTCTGTTCCCCACTCTGTCGCTGGTGCAAATTCTCACCCCCCACACCTCTGGCCTGTACCCCTCCTCTTGTATGCATAATAAATAAATTAAAAAAAAACTTTAAAAAAAGGCTTTCATCCATAATGAACTTCAGAAAATATCATCATGGACAATGCTAGCTATTTCATATTTACTAATATGTATGCACACAATAACTTCAATAGTTTGAAAACATAATAGAAAAACTATTATAAATGAATAGCATAACTGAAAAATCTCAATTATAGGTGGGGATTTCAAGAGTCCCTTTTCAGGAATTAATATAATAATTAGGCAAATGTCAATAAGATAAAGAGAACTTTACACGTATTATTGACCAAGTCGATTTAATTGAAACTTTAAGAGATGTTTTTTTTTAAAGATTTATTTATACAAGAACTGGGGTACAGGCCAGATATGCAGGAGGGTGAAAGGATTCACCAGAGACAGAGCAGGGAACAGAACAGGCAGACTGAGGAAATACACTGCTGAGGGGAGCAGCAGGCGAGACAGGAGAGGTCTGCTGCGCCATGTGGGAGCCTCTCGGCAGGCCGGGATCGAACCAGCGCTGCAGAGGCTGACGGACATCTTCATAGTGCAACACTCAACTGCCTGCGCCACCAGGGGAGGCCCTGATCCTTATGTCTTCATCAAGTTAGGTACCCTTATGAGAATGAAATCCTTCTGACTCATTGCCAAGCTCCTGTCATTGTTAAGTAACTTTTGGGTTACTTCAAAAGCAGACTCTGAGACAAAGATTTGGGAGCAGGTAGTCTATTCAAAAATTGCTTTCAGAAAACAGATGAAAGTGGGGCAAGTGTAACAGGGTATGGAGAATGACAGTGTGCAATGAGTTAAGACTTCTGTGTTCAGTCTTACCTGGGACATCTGGAACATGCTTCAGAATCTTTTCCGAGGCAACAAAATACACCAGAGCATTTCCTCACCTACTCTCATCTTCCATTGGTTGACAGTTGTCTAAGTGGCATTAACTCCCCATTTCTAAGTCCTTCTTTGCTCCTGCCTAAGGCTGAGGATCAATGATTAGCTGGGAAAAGTTCACAAGCCTAGAATCAGAAAATACATAGGCACAAGTTGAGAAGCTATGAATGAGCCAGAAACAAGTGAATTTCAGGTGAACACAGGGGTCCAGGAGATAGGGCACAAAATCAATATTGTCTCTTACAGCCAGTTACACTGAAGCACTGTGGAAGCCCTGCAGTACAGGTCAAAGGACAGTCAAGATAGGGGACAGGTCACCGTCTATAGGTTCTCACCCCTGCACTCAGCTGGAAGAACACTCAGGCTCAGGGTTCAACTACAGGGGGGTTATTTACAAAGGAGAGAGACAAGTTGGGAGAGAAGTTGGGATAAAGGAGAGTTAATGACAGGACTAGTGAAGGTCATAGGGTCTGGAAGTTTGCAAAGGTGAAGATTTCGAGGTCCCAGCAGACACGGCAACACAGCAGTCAGCACAGCAGTGAGGAATGTCAGGCCAGGCAGCGCTGAACATTGGACCAGAGGAGAGTCTTAGAATAAGATTGCATGGTAGACCAAAACAAGTTGTCATCCTAATCAGCAATAACACATAATCTCTAAGGTTATAGCCTCTTTCCCAAGAAATCTCCAAAGAAAATGTTTACACCATTTTGCAGCATCTGGCCTCTGATGAAATAGTGAATTGAAAGTCAAGTAGATATAGTTCCATGGAAAATGAAATAACCGTGTTAACTAATGCTCTAGTCTGGCATGGGAAGGTCATGCCACCCAATCTTTGCCGTATTTTCAAATGTTAATTTTTTAAAATTATATGCATCTTGAATTTTTAGTACATTTCAAGTTATATAAATTCTCCAAGTCAAGGGGGCCTCCCTGGTGGTGCATGCATGGGGTTAAGATGCAACCAATTAAGTTATCTGCAGCCAGCGGTTGAGTGCTGGGCTGTGAGGCTGCCCGCAGCCTCTGCAGCACCTGTTCGATCCCCAGGCCTGGTGAGGGTCCCACATGGCGTGCAGCCCTCTCCTGCCGCCCGCTGCTCCCCTCAGCAGTATGTTTCGTCGGTCTGCCTGTTCTGTTCCCCGCTCTGGCTCTGGTGAATTCTCTCACCCTCCCATGCTTCTGACTGTACCCAGTGCTTGTATGAATAAATAAATAAATCTTTAAAAAAAAAAAAAGTTATCTGCAGCCATTGTAGCATGAGTTCTATCCCTGGCCAGGGAGCTAACCCATGTGGCAAAACAGACCACTCCTGTCTTGCCTGCTGCTTCCCTCAGCAGTGTATTTCAGTCAGTCTGCCTGTTCTGTTCCCCGCTCTGTCTCTGGTGGATCCTCTCAGCCCCCCACACTTCTGGCCCATACCCCAGTTCCTGTGTGGATAAATAAATTTAAAAAAAGAAAGAAAAAAAAAGAAATTCTTCAAGTCAAGTCAGGGTTTATATTTCAAGTGTTTTCATTTATCCCTTTTTAATCAGACAGCAGTGTATTAAACAACTGTTTTTATCATATAGAAATGTAGTTACTTTCTGATTGCAGGACAGACAAGCCTGATGGAATTCCTGGAGAAATAAAATGAATCCTGGACATCAGGTTTAAAAACGTAGTGAGGGCCTTCCCGGTGGCGCAGCGGTTGAGCGCTGGGTTGCGAAGCTGCCCGCAGCCTCAGTGGCACCGGTTCAATCCCCGGCTGCTCCCCGGCCACCGGAGGAGGGTCCCACATGGTGCGCAGACCTCTCCTGCCACCCACTGCTCCCCTCAGCAGTGTACTTCGGTCCTTCTGCCTGCTCTGTTCCCTGCTCTGGCTCTGGTGAATTCTCTCACCCTCCCGTGCTTCTGACTGTACCCAGTGCATGTATAAACAAAAACAAACAAACAAATAAATAAACATGCCTCTATAAAAAAAAAAATGAAAAAAAAAATAAAAACGTAGTGAGACAGCTCCTATCTTCTAGTTTCCTCATAAGAAATAAAATTGCCAAAAATAGCACTAAATTGAAGTTGCCTTTCAATTTAAATGCATAGCAATAACAGACACAGCACTCCCAATCGTGGGTATAGTTAATACACATCTGAGTGTCTGGGTGTCATATTTCCTAATGAATTTAAGAGCAATTATCCAGATGGTAGAGGGGTAAGAACAGAGGGAAGGAAGCCCAGCGGAAGAAGGTGGCAGATTATGGGTAATTTGGTGGTGAGTGGGAATACTTCAAGGGGGAGCTCTAATGATACCCCAATTAAAAAATAATTATTTTTTAAATAAATAGATGCCACACAGATAAGAATTTGTGTTGTCTCAGTAGTAAAAATATAAGTCCTGCTAGGATATGGGAGAAACAGCAGTTATCTGAATCTTAGCGATTAGACTAAACATCAAGGAATGTTAAATGCCTCCTCAGTTATTTTAGTCCACAGGACTACAGCCACTGCTGCAGTTACCATGCACCTTCACATTCTTCAATCAGAAGGTGTAAAAGTTGACTTCGCACAGCTTCATTGTTTACCCAACAATACTTCAGATCTCTGCACATTTGTGACACCCAGACACTGTCTCTATAAAAGGGCAATGTCATTTGTGCACAAGAAGACAGAGAGAGTCTGATCAGGGCCTCCCTGGTGGCCTAGGGGTTAAGTCTCACTGCTACTGCAGATACAGCCCACCACCAGAGCCCACCACCAGGGCTTGACTTTGATCCCTGGCCAGGGAGCTACCCACATGGAGCAGCAGACCTCTCCTGTCTTGCCTGCTGCTCCCCTCAGCAGTGTACTTCAGTCAATATGCCTTTTTTGCTCCCCACTCTGTCTCTGGTGAGTCCTCTCACTCCCCACACCTCTATCCTCCACCCCAGTTCTTCTATGCAAAAAATAAATTAATAATATCTAAATAAAAAAAGGCAGCCCAATCATTCAAACCTGACTTAGATGACATCAACCTGAGGTGCACATTTCTGAATTTACATTTTGAATGACTTGGGTATAAAATAAATTGATATAAAGGTGAATTAAATGTTAGAAGTACCATTAAGTAAGCACATTTGCTTGGTATAAAAGATCAAATGATACAATGCAGGTACAGATACATAAAAAAAGTGAAAATAGAATGCTAAAATTTAGTCATTTACCATTTAGCACTTTTTTTTTTTTGTTTTTCACTGCTACCATGACTAAGGAAAACACTCAAGGAATATGCTATATGTTACCTAAATAATTGGCAGTGAATTACCAAAAAGCTAGGCCATTTAATTTCAGTCCTTACAATTTTGTCTCCCCCTTGTTCTTCCTCTCATTCCTTATTTCTTCTTTTTTGTATGTTTTTTAAGACATCATAACTTTTCTGGCATTAAAAAGATGTTCGAACAAACTGATGTTAACTCTGCCAAAAAAAGTTCGTTTAAAAACTTGAGGTTTAGTTAACATGAACAAATGTGTTAAATTATTAATAATAAAAAAAATAAGAAGTGCATCTGCTTATTATAACACATATCCCAAAGTGGGCAAAGTCAAGTTCTGTAAAAGCCAAGATTCTGCCTGTGTTGGCCTAGAAGTTTATTGTAAATCATTACTGAGCCAAGGACATTTAGGGGATCAATGCCAAGTTAGTATAAAGGTGCCAATGTAGAATAATCCTTAAAAGATGGAGGCACCATCGTTGAAGTAACTGAAAGTACAATTCATGTCATGTCAATTTAACTGGAGACATCTGTTACTAAGATCTAGAAGCATATCAGTCTATTAATTTCTAAGTAGAAGTATTCAGTTTGTGCTCACCCACTTAGTTTTAGTAAAGACTCTATAAAATTGTCTTTGCAAAGGTTATTTTTCATGAAGCCAAGTTTCAATCTCTGCTATTCTTGATCATTATTTCTATTTTAAAATATAGGTAGAAAAGGAGAAGTTGGTGCAGAAAGAAAACCCTCATCCCTATTGGAAAACTGATTTCTCAGGAGATAGTTTTCCTTCCCATAGTGAACCCTGGGTGTGTCCATGTTATCTTAGTGCATCAGGCATCCCTTGTTAGTCTATTTTATCCATTGTGAACACATTTTGTGAATGTCCTTTGAACTGGACTTGAAATATGGCAAGTTTGCAATGTGTTTATTCAATAACGATCAATTAAATTTTTGGATTCTATGAGAGTAAAAATATGATGAATAGGTTAATGGGAGAATTTCTGAAAATCAAAGGCTCCCTCAATAAGATAAAGAGATGGGGGGGAAAGACAAGGAGGCACATTAGTAGTCACATTTATATGGTTTAAATAGATGAATGTTAGAGATATATCAATAGGCAGAATCCCAAGTTTCAAAGAATAAAGAGTTTATATACTCTTTTTCATTCAATAATTTATTTATCAGTAGCTTGGCTCACCAAGGGCACATTTCTTCAGTGGATCATCTCACAATATAATTTGTAGTTTGATATTTTCTAGACAATACAATAAGTTTCATTCTCCATGATGATACACAACATCATATCCCTCTACCCTGAAACACACAAAAATAAGAATCAGAAATTACCTGCCATCTCAGATGGTTCTGAAACAATCTTGCCTTTAGGCAAGTTTTAGACAAGTTCTTCAAGGAAGGTTTTGACACTGGATGGGTAGCTTATAAAGTGTCTAATATCATCATAAAGTTCCCATATTGCTCCTGTTTGTATTGTATCCATGTAAGATTAGTTTATTTGAAGTAAGTCAACCTTGCTTGTCTCTCCATAGGTGCAGTATTGTAAAGATGACCCATCCAACTTACTGCAGGACTATAATAAATCCACAGAATAAGCAATATAATAAATAGCTTCTGCTTTTCTTTGGTTCTAAACAAACTTTTCTAAACCTAGCACTACAGTTAAATAAATTTAAAAGTATCATTTAAAACATTGAATTATCATAATTTACTCATTAGGTCTATTTGGATTTACATATTTCCATTAATTAATGTGATTTTTTTTAAATAAAATATGGAACATAGTATTTAGGATCTGTCAAAATCAGTTCTTTTATACAAGGGTGTATTACTCAGTATTGATTAAAAAATCTTATGCAAAAATAAGTTTTTAATTCTTTCGGGCTTCAGACTGAAGTCAGTTGTTTGGGAAGTGAATATTTAGTGTTAGATGACTAAGAATTCTGCTGTATATTTAGATAGTAACAGTTAAATACAGGTTTGGACATTAAATTTAGTTAATAGGGCTGAAAGTGACCTCAAATTTGGAGGGAAATTGTGTACACTTCCACCTCCTTATGCAAACCCCTGCTTTGAGATGAAGACTAACTCACTGGAACAAGACATAACTTTTCTATTTCACCAGCCTTTGACACTTTCTAGGCCAACTGCAAGCTTATATAGTATTTCATATTTCCATATTTCAGCTTAAATTTAAAAATATTATTTCAAAATTAACCAGAAATAATGGAAATAATTTTGTGCAATTATTTCCTTAATAGAAAGTTTTAACCTAATTTCTCCTTGTAGTCTGTGAAATTTTATTTTAAGTACTGAAATACCTGCTTACAAAACAATCTCTCAATTACATTTCTGAGCAGGAGCCCCTCAACTTTGTTGGTGAAATATGTATATTAATATACAACTTTTAATATGCTTTAAAAATCACTAATGAATTATGTGGAAAGCATTCTTTTAGACAATATCGTTAAAATAACTTTAACTTTAGACCTACTTTATTATTAATAGGCAAATTATTTTATTATGACTGTATTTAAAAAAGAGTAAACTGGTTTGTGTTTTCAACTTGTGACCATTTCTCTTTTTTGCACTATAATTACCAAAACCACTGATGTCAAGAACAACATCTGGACTGTTCTCCAGTCTCTCTTTGGCACTTGGGACACAGAAATAAGTCATTAGTTGCTAGCCAGTATGCAGAGTTGGGATCAGAAGTTGCCTTATTCTGTCCTCAAGAAGGTACCCCACCAAATTGACAGGAAGCACTCCAAGTTAACCCTAAGTTCTGAGTTAACCTTTAGAATAAATACACAGGTGTTGACATTCTAAATAACCTCTTCTTAGTAAAAAAGCTATGAAAACATAGCTCTCTTAAATAATGTGCTTGAGGTTAAAGGAGTCAGGGCAAAGTAAAAGACATCACCAACCTTATATCGCTGTGAGGTTAAAGGGATAGAAAGGACTTACTTAGAGGCTACACAATTTTTGTCCTGGCCTCTATCTGACACTTGTTGTTCACTATTCAAAAAATGAGGAGAGGAATCCTTATGTTATAATAATTTCCAAGGATGTGAACCTTATAGGAAATCAGATGAAGGTAGCATATAAACTAAATGTTCATGTTAGAAATAAATCTACTGGGCCTCCCTGGTGTCACAAGGGGTTAAGTGCCACACTATGAAGCTGTCCACAGCCACTGCAACATGAACTTGATCCCTGGCCAGGGAGGTGACCCACGTGGCACAGCAAACATCTCCTGTTTCGCCTGCTGCTCCCCTCAGCAGTGTATTTCAGTCAGTCTGCCTGTTCTGTTCCCCACTCTGTCTCTGGTGACTCCTCTCACCCCCCACACCTTTGGCCTATACCCCAGTTCTTGTATGCATAAATAAATAAATCTTAAAAAAGAAAGAATCTATTAATTTATTTTACTGATAGAGAAGTCAGTTGACAGTAATATGGAGTTAGGGATGGGGAGGTGGACAAATAACCATACAGACACATGTCATTTCCTCATAGTGCAACTGAAGGCAGAATACTGCTGAGAAAAATGGATTTGGATGTCTAGTTTGGGTCTGAGTTGTGCTGACATGTAAGAGCCTTGTAATCTTTTCTCCCTATAATTTATCCTCTTCATAATCTTTCAAATGAAATTCTTGGTTCAGATCATCAATAAACTCTAGAATCAACTTTAGTCAAACATATGAAATATTCAATCTCAGTTAATCTCTGATATTCAACTTCTTTCTGAATTTTCCTGTCTGACAAAATCTTAGACTTTTCTAGACTCATCCCTCTTTTACACCTCTGGTGAAGTGGATCCAGGGAACCACTTCTCCTGTGTTTGTGGCTCCTTCACATTTGTGTGGGGTGTTCACCCTTCAAGTGTAGAATTTTAATGATAGAATGACAGTTTTACATTTGGAAGATGTTTTAGATCAAATGAAAGACATTTTGAAGACTAAAACTCCTGGCTAATGTGGTTTGATATGTGACTGATGGCAAAGTAGACTTAATTTTACTTTAGAGGTGACATATATAAAGAAGTGGTTCTTCCACACCAGGAGTCTTCCTTCTACCCCCTAGACAGGTAAATGCTTTGATGGGGAGATCAGTGCACATTGGTAGGGGCTGAATTCAAATTTCAGGTTTGAATTTCTTTAGCACTCTGAATTCCCTAACCCTGACCTCAACACTTTTTCCTCTGGTTTTCTCCATGAACCTACTCATGATGGTGGACTACCCTGCCTCATTTATTTTAAATGACTATAGATAACTTTTTTAGACATATTTTAATGCATGCTAATTTAATGTATATTTGATAATTTATTTCTTTACACTATACTTCCTCTTGCCCGTTTATTTCATACTCTGTAATACATTCCTAGACATCTAAGAGTTGATATGCCTTGACTATTAAGACGGAGAAATGCATTTCTCATGGGAACGTTACTCCTTTATTAACTGAGTTTTCAATCAATGTGGATTGCATATGGTGAAAACGAACCTTGAAATATGTGATGAAATTTAATTTAAAACAAAAACTTGAAAAAGAGTGTCATTTATATCATAAAGCAATGTATGCATTGTGTAGAAAGTTAAATGGCTATTGGTGACTGTAAACGCAAACATCGAAAGAGATTGTAGAACCGACCTTTCCTGGTACCTGAAGCCACAATACCTTGGCCCACCAGTGAGACTGTTTATTTGCATGAAGTTTTCCAAATTTCCACCTCCAGGAAATGTCATGGCATCTTTCCAGGCTTCTCTGTCCCAGAACATTTTTAGAAGCTCAAAAAGGATGCTCAGCCTGAGTGTAGACAGAGTCAGGCAGTGCTCAGGATTTAAAGAATCTGGGAGCAAAATTCAACTAGTGTGTGGGGAAATCAGGAAATAAAACCCTCCTTCCCCATTCTTCTGGAGAACAACTCTCAGCTATTGTTTTTTTTTTTTTTTACTGTTCCTTTAAGAGTCAGTTGCAGGACTCATCCCATTTGCTACAGAGAAACCAACTCAATAATTAACTTGCAGAATTCCAGATCAAGTATTATGTTGAAACAGCCTTGATCAGTAACATAATCTTGAAGTTTTCTCACCCTTCTCTGGTTTTTACCCCTTCCCTGTCTCACTGTTTTTCTTTTACTTCTGTTTCTAAGAAAAGCTGAATAAAACGCATGTTGTAGGGAAACTGAGTGAAGGAAATTAAATAGCTTTATGCTGTCCCATACCTTTTTGCCTAAAGATATAGAACCACTTACAACACCTTGCTTGATCAATGTTAATCTTCTCTTAGCTTTAATAGACATTAGCTATGATATTTACCATCACAATACAATGTCACAATCACAACTTCAGCCCTATTAAGGTCCCCTCACATCTCTAATAAATGCCTTCATTTAGAGAGAACAAGTCTTATTCAAGCCTGTACTGTCACTGGTTAGTTTTAGTTTTAGTACTTAATAATAATTCCCCCCAAATTTTAATTTGGTTATACATTTTTTTTGTCTTTATAAGACTAATGGCCACTAGGTAGAAAATGATAACAATTAAGATTAAATTCAATGAACTCACAGAAAACCATTAAGAATAGTATCTGTTTATTGATTGCATATAATGAGACTACTTATTCTTTTTCTTTAAAAATAATTGAAATGACTAGTCTTATTGCTAAAATGCATTATAAAGTATAGAAACACAATCTGATATCAAACAAAAAACATAATGCTAATTTTAGTAATCCATATTCCACCATTATTAATATACACTTATCTAAATCCAGATTAGCAAGTTTACTTTAAATTACTTCTCATAGGCATTAGACACACAATGTACTTGTTTGCAGAGCATCTCCATGTTCACAACAAAACAATAAAATGCCAACAAAAAGTTTAAATAACTCTTGGGGTTGGTGGGGGCATAATGCACAGACTTAAAGGAATATTTTTAGAACTTCATCAAAGTAATCTCAATAGAGGAAGTTGATTATCTCCAAAATTCCACATCAAATGTCATTTAAGACAGAAATGATCAGTAACATAATCTTGAACTATTCTTATCTTTTAAAATATTCTTCTTTGAGGGCCTCCCCGGTGGCGCAGCGGTTGAGCGCTGGGTTGCGAAGCTGCCCGCGGCCTCTGCGGCGCCGGTTCGATCCCCGGCTGCTTCCCGGCCACCGGAGGAGGATCCCACATGGCGCGCAGACCTCTCCTGCCGCCCGCTGCTCCCCTCGGCAGTGTACTTCGGTCCTTCTGCCTGTTCTGCTCCCCGCTCTGGCTCTGGTGGATTCTCTCACCCTCCCGCGC